TTGTGTGTCCCTCCGAAACCCTCGCCCCCTCGCCCCTTGCTATGTTTACGACATAAACAGCTTCTACTTAGGGATAATGTTCTTGCTTGATTTCATGAATGGACTGGACAATGGGGAACAGGCTCTGGATGGCAGGGTAAAGCCACACTTACTCCTTGAGAGACTGTGTATGTTTTATTTTCCCCACCACCGCCGTCCATTTATTTTTTGTTTGTTTCTCTCTTTTCTTGGGGGAGGGCACTGTATTTTTAAAAATTCCCTCCCTCCCTGTACTTTTTTTCTTTCTACTAGCTTCCAAGATTGGCTTTTAAATCAAAGATTCCCAGATACCAGCCAGGCTACAGCTGAATCAGTGAAGAAATTAAAAATACTATTACTCTAGCCCGACCTTTGAATCACCCATTTACAATCTTTTTGGAAAGGACCCAGATTTACAGTATCCTGAAGAAGAGCTAAATTGAAAGACCTGTGAAGGGTTCTGCTTTATCAAGGAAAGAGGGAAAAACAAACAAACAAACAAACAGCAGTCCCTGCCACAGCCCTTCCTACTTCCTCACCTGTCACTGCTGCCAGCTGCCTGGGCTGGTTTTTGGCTCCTACCTTTCCATCTGTGATGAATACGCTCTACGAGTTATTGCTTCAGTCTGAGACGTTCCACAGGCTACCTTCCTGCTGTGGAAGACGAGGGGTTAGCTCATTTACATCATTCTGCCTTCCCTGCCTCATCGTCGTCTTGTATTTAATTTCTTGATTGGTTCACTCTGTAATTTTGAGTAAATATTTTACCTTTATTTCTTGTTCTATCAACTATCGAGAACAATGATAGTCAATACCTAATAACGCTTACTGCACGCCAGCCAGCATTCTGAGTACTTGACACGTATCTACTCGTGGAAGCCACACAACGGTGTTAAGACACAGGTTACTATCACTGGCCCCGTTTTAGGGAAAAGAAAAGTGAGGCCTTTGGACTGTTCTTTCAGTGGTTTACCAAGAGGGAGAGGAGGTGGACGTGGGGGCCCAGTCTGCCATCTCTACAGAGTTCTAACAGACCGGGCAGCGTCCACTCTGGCCTTTGCTCTGGTTCCCCGCTGAGCAGTTAGTACGACAGTGACCAGGAAGATGGCAAGGTGTCTCAGTCACCTCGGCCAGCGCCAGGCAGTTACTCGGCTGTGGGCTGTGGATTCCCACCTGCCAGAAATCAGCTAAATCGGAATCAACAGAGGAGTTTGTTAAACTGTTCACCTACTGAAACAGAATCACTGGGACTTGGGCCCAGGACCCTGTATTTTTAGCAAGCATGCCTCACGGTGTGGAAGCCACTGGGTCACGGGTGGGCCCCGCAGCTGGTCTCGCTCCATCACACACTCAGGTTTCAGCGCTCTTCCTCAGAGCCTGCACTGCTGTGGCACTCACTAAGGAACGGCCGGCTTTTGTAGCAGACCTCCCACTGCAGCAGGATCAATGATCTTAATACCAAGATCAAGGTGAGGTGCTAACTGAGGTTCCATCTCAGCGCGGCTACTCACGCACGAGGCTCCCCCTTATGCTCCAAGCCTTTGGTCACAATCACAGAATGTTAGACCTGAAAGGATGCCTGCTCCGGACATGAGAGACTGGGGAAAGCGCTGCTGGGAGGAGGGATCCTATCAGAGGGTGAAGTGACACAAAGCAGAGGTTTTGCAGGGGGATGCATGTGAAAGACCAAAGCCAGAACTGGGAACTGCGGTGTTGTCCCCCCAAGGGCCCCTGCGAAGGGCTCAGCTCCTCCTGGAGCTTTTCTCTTGGATCACAAAGACAGTCGTGACTCTGTATAAAGGCTCACGTTTCCCCTTTCAGTTCCCTGTGGCTCCTCCAGCCCTTCAGAAAAGGGTCACGACGTCCATCCAGACTTGGCCAGCAGTGGACTGGGGACTGGATGGAATGAGGCAGTGAGAGGGAGTGTGACCTGTGTCCCACAGTCGCACAGCTGCTGTGTCCTGGAGGGAGCGGAGTTCTGCTGAGGGGACTGCTGTGTGTCCGGGAGTTCCAGATGACAAGCAGCGAGAAGGAGCCCACGGCGGGTGAGGGTGGCAAGTGGGTGATCCGCAGATATTACAGAGAAAGGTGGGCCCGGTGGGGTGACGAAGGGGGTGGCAGAGACAGGTGGGGCTGGTACTCAGGTCACACAGGTGAGCTCACATACACAGAAAGTACCATCAGACAATGAAGGCAGCCTTGAGCCAAATAGATTTGGATAAGATTTATTGATCAGATTGTTTTAGAAAACCAACAGCAAAACACTGACAAGGTACATAAATACAGATTGGACATTTTAGGGTAAATTCACTATATTTCCTACCTGCTTGTAGGAAACCAGGTAAGGTGGGAAAGCTGTCCTGATCATACAGCATGCACACCAAACTGCAAAAGGACTTCCACACTATTGAACAGGACTGTGGCAATAGCTTTATAGTAAGGCAAGCATCGTGTGTGGCCTAAGCATACCCTGTACGAGGAGCCGAGCCCAGGCTCCCCCTCAGAGACGGCGTGTAAGAGGGGTTTCCCCTTCTTGCCTAGGTTCTTCCAGAAAGTCCTCCTTGGCAGGTGCCTTGACAGGGAGATACCTGGCGCTGTCCCTGCTCAGACTCCGTACAAGGAAGTGGCTTTATAGGTCAGTGTGTTTCTGATGCCCCCTTTGTATTCTAAATGTGCGACTAGTACAACAGCAAAGACTACGCGCGGCGCGACTGCCTCTGACTCACCCTGTACACTAAGCAGAGCCTTTAAAAGAGACTTCTAAAAAGTGAAAAAAAAATTTAAAAATATGAAAATTATACTAAAAAGATGGCACCACTTTTGAAGCACAACTCAGAACTTCTTTTCATGACACCAGACAAGAGGAGTTGCTTTCCACCGAATCTAACGGCCTTAGAAGGGAAACACCACCGCTGGGCGTGGCCTGGTGGCGGCGCGCACGGAGGCCGTAGAACCCCATGAGACCTCCTGGGCCCCGCCAGCGCTCCCAGAGCCCCTCGGTGATTGGGGAACCAAACCGGTTTAAGCTAACGGGGACAGTTTTTGGAGCTTATGGTCACGACACCATAAACCCTCATCCATCCTGGAGCTCAATGCCAGACAAATGAAGAAAAGGAAAATGGCTTTTTGTGCTACATCAGAGTGCTGACAGGTAGGCAATCGGTAACCCGCACCACGTTCTACACATCTGTAAGACCACCAAGAGGCAAAGTGGTTTTACAGCATTGAGACAACATAGTCTTCGAGATAATTCAGCCTTTCCTACATGCCAAGCGATATGGCTGGAAAAGGTATTTCCAAGGGGAAAAGTAGGCTCCTGCAAGAACAGCGGGAAACGAGTATGTCAAGAGCCAAAGTAATGTGTTTGAACAATGGGCTTTCCTCTGCATCACACACTGCTTTTTCTTCCCACAGGTGCTAAGGGTTCTTTGGGGTTAGAGGACAGATAGCCTAGAACTCAGGGCAGGAAGCTATGCCAAAGCAGAGGAGTGAAGAGTAACATCCAAACTCAGGACTACCACCAGTGGGTCCTAATTCAGCATTCAACAGCTGTCGGCAGATTGACCAATTACAGCTGATTAGGCTGCTGATGTGTCTGCTGGTTTCTAACCCCTCCCATGATTCTTTTCCATTTCTAACTACTCATTAGCCCCACCCATTGAAAAGGAAGTGGTTATGGGAAAAGAATAGGAAGGGAAAACTATATATGAGTCACTGTTTGGTAGAAAAGTTGAAATTGATTATCTGTGGATTTCAATGAACTGTGCTTTACACTTGCTACACTGGATAACCAAAGATCGTTGTTAATATACCTTTTGCTTAGAAATGTGTTTATTATATTTTTAAATCTAGCTATGTAACAGGCATGAATAGTTTAGCGCAAAGTTTTACATCATGTCAGTGGAAAGGGTTTCAGTTTGGCCCCTGAAGAATAGTTAAAATCTCAATCTACTCTATACTGTTTTATAGATTTTTCCAGGATGTGGAAAACACTTTATTAAATTATGAAAGCATGATTTTCTTTACTTAAAGTATGACATTCACAGATAAATTATTATATACACAGGAGAACTGCTAGTATTAAATATTAGGTTTTAACTCTCCATTTAGGACACTCTCACAGATAGACTTCCTTGTTCCTGGGCAAAGAAACGCAGGCAGACATGCCCACATGAGAAAGCAGAGAAGACGGGGGAAGTCTCAGCGCTAACGAACCCGAGGGTGGGAGTAAGAGAACGCAGACTTGAACATCCAGCTTGGCCAAGAATTGGCTTAAGCCAGCCAACCACATCTCAAATTCTGGGTGCAGCCTGACTCTAACGTAATGAGCTGACTTCCCCAAGACAGAGACAAGAAAGTGCCTACCTGCTTTACAGTCACACCCCACATAGAATCTGTATATACCCACACGCGTTTCTCTATATTGCACTTAAGTTACAGGACTGCAGTAGATGGCTGGGAGCACCTCGGAGAGGCAGAGAAGCAGCAGGCATAAACTTCCTAAATCAAGTAACAGTGCCAGGAGTTCGGAATTAAAGTAACTTTAAAAGCTGATTATAGGGACACTACAATGCCTGGTGACCCCCAGACACCGATGGTTAGGTCGTCCCACACACGGTCACATTTGGCACCCAGGACATGTGCACAATGTGCGGTTCTACAGCACTCGGAGCCGGTCACACTCCGTCACTGTCACTAGTGTTGCGTTAAAAGAAGACACTTTAGACCAAAGATGTACACTTTTATGAAAATGTCACACACAAGGTCTTGGGTGTCAGGCCCCCAAAGTCTACCTCAAAGGAGTCAGCCCCTAGAAGGCTTTAAAAAGGATGCTGGCAAGTATGGATTGAACCGGACTGTCTTTCTAGCTCCATGGTGTAGGAGCAGCTAGGCACCCACTTATATCCCAAGAACCATGGAAGGAGAAAAGCACAGAGGATGAGCATTCTAGTCTTTGGTCCCTATGTAAATCCATGAAAAAAGCCTTTCATCACCCTAGACAGCATGACTTGTTTCATTCTGGCCGTATCTCCCCCGGTGCTCCAGAGACCAGGCTGGAGCCAGGCAGCAGAGCCTGGTTAGACCTCACGGGGCTGCTCAGACTGACTTGCTCTGGACAGAACTCCTCATCGGAACAAGCCCAGCAGCGGGTGGTGAGTTCGGTGCCAAACAGACTGGGTGTGGCAAGATGGGGGTAGGGCCTCTAGAGGAGTTCCTCCTCCTCCTGCCTCTCCTCCACAGCCCTCACTCCCCACGGAGGGACCCACATTCACAGATGAATGGTTAGTGCAAGACCTTGCCAGATGCAGGCTCCATGAACTCAACCCAACATGGATGGGATGTTATAACAAGGCCAAGTCAGGAGTTCAAGTCTAGAGGCCACACTTTTCTCTACCCCAGAACTGAACATTAGATGGGAACTTTTTAGCCATGACTCAAAGGTGATTTTAAATCCACACATGAGCTAAAGATATCCCTTCTGGGATGAAGGAAAAAGAAAAACTTTAAAAGCTAAGTGAAAAAGAGGCACTTAAAGGAAAAATGAGTCCCACATCTCCCATCTGAGTCTCCTGCTGTGAGGTTAGCAACGGGATGATCAGCACCGCGTGCCTTTAGCACCTGCCATGCACCTGAGGCCTGCCGCGTGCTCACCTCTCACTGACCTGCTGAACTACTCCCGCAGCCTGATGGCAAAGCGAGGGAAAATTTAGGTCATTTCTTCTTCAGAATTAAAAGTCAACACAAAACAAACCAGAGCTAGAATTTCAACTGAAAAGTGAATGATCCTTGATTCCATTCCTTCCTCATGCAAGTTTTTAAAATGATGCTTAGCTCTTTGGGAAGGATGACCTGTGTTTTTTCTCCTAAGACCTTTGATCCAATTTACTAGACAATTACAGCACCGTGCACATTAAAGCAGACAGAAAGGAAGCAATAAGCTACAAGAAAAATCAAGGGCCAACTGGCTTTCTAGAGATACACCCCACTGCCTACGAAAACGGCAGGTGCATGGCCCAGAGTTAGAGAAGAAACAAGCTCTAAAAGGAAACGGTCAGTGTGACGGTCAAAGCCCACAGCCCAGAGCGAAGCCCCTGCCCGGCTCTTCTCTGGCCTCTCACGGGCTCACATGTACATCACACAGCGTTTGTGCCGCATATTTTGGGTCTGCGATTCCCCATGAAGAAGTAAGAAGTCAAAGAGATACTTGAAACCATTAATAAGCATAGAATTTCAAAACCGCGCAAACAAAGAACTTTGGCCACCATAAGTTTCTTGATTTGAAACGAGCTTGGTGTCATAATTTCTAAGAGCAACAACAAACAGCACAACTACGACACACACATAAGTTTTTTGACAAAGCCATTGTCAACTCTAAGCATTGCTGGCACCATAAGGATGAGAAAAGATATCGCTAACCAAGAGCTGCTGAGCTGCTTAAATTTCCCCCAAAGTCAAAAAACGAGGTTTGGGTATCTCTGCAGCAAGATGTCAACCACTGCTACCATTAGAACCAGCTCCTCAGATGTATCTTGGAAAACAGTAAGTCAAACATCTAGCTTTCCATGCAGCCTGCGAGATTCTCAAGGTTAGCCTTCTTGTTCTAGCCCCCCCAAACATCTTGCTGCTGTTGCAAGATTTTAATTTTTTTAATTTTATCTTTGTTTTCATTGATGATGTTGCTGTAATTTATAGAGCCTGGCTGACATGGTCGTACGTTGAAAGTTCGTCTAAAAAATTCTTATCTTAATTCATAACATCATTAGGTATTTTCAGACTCTCCCTCAGCCCCATCAAGGAAGAGGGAGTACAGTGTGTGAGTGTGTGTATGAGTGTGTGCACTGGGGCGGGAGGGAGAGAACCAAAGAAAGGAGCACAAGGGAAAGTGAGATTCCATAAACTTAAAACCAATGTACAGAAAGGCATCTGATGTATTTTCTGAATAAGGCCTTGATCAGGGTAACCAATCCTCTTTGTAGCACATTCTACACTGCCCATAAATAAAGGAGTCTCTTTAAATTAACATTTCCAGTATCAATGAACAGTCCAGAAATCCTCATTTCAAGCGCTCGATGAGTCCCTGTGTGAGTCCGAGGTGCAGAAGCTGTGTTCGGGAGAGGCTGGCCAGGTTAGGGAAGGCTGCGAGCAGCCTCTCCCAGGCCAGTTCCAGCAGGCTGGGCACCACCAGCCAGATCTTAAACAGGGAGCCTGTCCGTTTGTTCTCGTGGATGTTCACCACTCCTCCGTGGATGTACATGCAGCCAGCCTGCGAGCAAACGGCAGTCAGAGAGGACAGGTTCACATGGAGAGAAACAGACACTAAGGCTGGAGATTCAAGCAACGTCAGTCATCGTAGGCTGAACTGAGGTGAAATGAAACAAAATATTTCTCACTGATCCCAACATAGTTCAGGGATAAAGGTCGGTTTAAATAATGAATGAGCTCGTAAGGGAAAAACTATAGATTTTTTTTTTACTTCAACAAACATTAAAGTATACATTGTACTCCACATAGGGAATACAGAAATGAAAATGAAGGTCTCTGCATTCAAAAAACTAGCAGAACCTCCAATAACATGGCATCTCGGGGTGAACCTACTCTGCCCTCCCGGGAAACCCTTCTGCCCCCACTGACAGCCTGGACGCCACACGCAGCATCTCCCTCACATTTGTGCCGCTCTCTTAAATTTGTAGATGCTGGGTTTTCTCCCTGTTTCAGAAGAAGAGCTAGCTCTGGAAGAACGTTTTAAAAACACATTTTTTAAAAAAGATTTAATGTATTTACTCTTAGAAAGAGGGGAAGGGAGTGAGAAAGAGAGGGAGAGAAACATGTATCTAGCTTATCTATCGGTTGTGTTTCACACACCCCCAACTAGAGACCCAACCTGCAACCCAGGCCTGTGCCCTCACTGAGAATCGAACCAGTGACCTTTCGATTTGCAGGCTGTCACTGAGCCACATCAGCCTGGGCTAAAAACACATTCTTAATCCAAGGTTTGCTAATATCAGAATTTCTTTTTCTTGCTAATATCCATAAAAAGATGTCCCTAGCATCTGCACCTGCATGGGGAAGATAGGAAAATAAAAGCTCACCGGAGTAACAGCTGCGCAGTGAAAATAAACGGGTTCTGGCATGGTAGCTGGGAGCTTCACCCATTGAAAAGTCTGCAGATTCAATTTCCAGATATCCCCCAGGATCACTTCTCCATTGTAGCCCCCACAAATAAACACATCTATCAAAAAAAGAGAAAGCCAAGATCACACAAAGAAAATGAGCCACAGCTACTGCGTGTTCTGTAACTGGAGCACGTGGCTGGTTGGCCTGGGCCCAGTTCAGCCGAGTCCCCAGGCCGCAGAGGACGTCAGCTGGGCAGGCCTCTCCTGCGGCCACCTGGTCCCTCGGCAGAGTTCGCACATGATGCTGGGATCTGTGCTAGGACTAAGGGTGCAGACCTCTAAGGAGGGTGCGTGTCTGGCTCCACGTCTAGGTGCCAGGCATAGAAAGGGAGTGAGCAAGGAGATCGGGGAAAAGACACGAGCAGGAGTGCACGTGCGCCACAGGGGGAGAGGGCAGGCGGCGACGGCTGCTCGCACCGCGCAGGACTTAAGGTCGGCAATGGCCAGATCCTCCCATTTTTTCAAGAGAACCTGGAAATCTGGATTTCTTTAAAAGTGAAATATTTCGATGTTTAAGAGTTATCTATTAACTCAAAAAATTTTAATACACATGTGAGCCAAATAAAACACATCTGCAGACCACCAGCGTGTGAACTCTCCCTTCCAGTGACGCCCCGGAAAGGATCGACACGGGTCTGTCCAAGGAGACGGACGTGCCCCACACGGACGGACGTGTGACCTGAGGAGAGGCGTGTGGGGAACGCCCAGCGTGGGGCCCAGGAGGCCTTCCCAGCTTTCTGCAGCCCAAGGAGGACAGTCTGGAGCCTGTTTGATATAAGTGGTTATTTACACCAGAAAAAAGACCTTCCCAAAATCAGAGTTTTTTCTTGTTTTGCTTTCGTCAATTCAGTTAGTTATAACTAATTAGCCAACCTGTAACGAAGGGTATGTGTACCTTCAAACTAAATGCCCAGAACTAAAGCTGAATTCTGTTTGTGTGGTGCCTGGTCTCAAAGAATCAAGTGAATAGATGTCTTAATTCAGGTCTAGATCAAGTTTAAGCCAATACTTAATTACACTATTAAATACACTGGAAACCTTTTTGGCTAGGATTCAAGAAAAGCACAGCTCCATTCTTCGAGAGGCAAAGCTGAACCACGCCACCACCGATAAATCTTATCCAGAGGCAGGAGCGCGACACAAAGGACCTCTGTGCTGGAGACGGCAGCACGCGCCTAGCACGGTCCAGCCTGGGCTGCTGAAAGGACACGGGCATCAAACTCGGTTACACACAGCTTCCTCCCAGAAAAAAATTTTAGGTGCTACATCAAATGATAAAATAAGCTGTAAATTAAAAGACAGAAAGGTTATCCAAAGAGGAGTCATTTATCACACTTAGATAAAGCAGCTGCAGCTGCCTTCTGAAGCCAGACAATGCCTTTGTTGTAGTACGGCCAAAGAATGAGCTAAGAATTCTATTTAGCATCAGACAGAGAACAGAACAAACTTTATGAAATAACATTCTGAAGATGTTATTACAATTTTTTAAAAAGGTTTTATTTATTTATTTATTTTTAGAGAAAGGGAGGAAGAGAAAGAAAGAAACATCAATGTATGGCTGCCTCTCCCACGCCCCCAACCAGGGACCTGATCCAAAACCCAGCCATGTGCCCTGACAGGGAATCGAACCAGCAACCCCTTGGTTCACAGGCCAGCGGTCAGTCCACTGAGCCACACCAGCCAGGGCTGAAGATGTTATTACAATTTTAATACAACATTCACCGAGGCCTCTACTGCTTGTCAAGATTATTCGTATTCCCCACCACAGCCACCAACATCGGCTGCAGTGGAGTGCTGAAAATCAGGTGGTGTAATAAAAGCTTACTTACCATCAATTTTCAACTTCTCTGATAACTGAAGGAACCCAAACATACTAGTTTACTTAATAAAAATTGCTGAGAGAGGCATAGTTTTATGGATTTCCCTTTAAGTTGAAACTACAAGAAATATATTCTTCCCAAATGATAGCCTCTTTTAAGGAGCTATCATTAAGGAATAAGACATTATTTGGAACTTCTTACCATTTTTTATTTGAACACAACTGTGACATCTCCGGGCTGCAGGAAAACCTGCCAACACATAAACACAGGAATTCCTTATTCACAGAAAGACTGGGAATGAGCACTCACCTAAAACAAGCCCTTTGCTGCACTCAGTAGACAGTGGCTGGCCCTTCCATTCCCTCCGAATTCCACACTGACATAAAGCCATCGATCGGAAGTCTCGCAGCGGTACAATGTCAAGGTGCCAGGGAAACCGAGTGGGGTGGCAGGGTCAGGGGTTAGAAGTGGCTTTCCCAAGCCCTTTTATCCACAGACAGGAGGATCTTGATTTAAGTACCTATTTCTTATCCCACCCACACTTCCCAACTTCCACAGAATTCTGCAATCCTCTGCCAGAGGAGAGGAGGGTGGGGACAATGGTGGAAAGCAGGGGAAGGGACTAGTCAGAAAACATGGATGAGTGACCGGTGGACATGGACAACGGTGTGGGGACTGACTGTGGGAGCGGGGGGTGGGCTGGGTGGAAGAGGGCAAAGGGGGGAAATTTGGGACAACTGTTACAGAATAACAATTAAAAAATTAAAAAATTTAAAAAAATGTAAAAGTCTCTGCTCGATTGCTGAAGAAAAGGAATAACTCGGCTAAGGAATATAAGTGATTTCTAATACTAGTTCAATAGATATTTTACTTGTCATTAACTCAATAAAATTAATTTCCCCTTCCAAAACATCTTAAAACACATTTGTTAAAGATAGAAGAATAAGTATTATACATTTACCTATTTTTTCATGGGGTTTTGTTGCAATTTCCTCCCACGCATTTGTTTCAAGGTTGTATGCATGGATCTTGGCAAGAAAAAAAAAAGACACACAAACAATTTTAGCTAGACCAAAAACTAAACTTTTAACAGCCAGTGCAAACATATTTCTTGGTTGAAAAGTCTCCTTTGCCTTTATTTTTATCTGCTCTTTGCTAATTCTAATATAAGCTAAAACATTAAATGAAACAAGTAAAAATTAAGCATGGATATGATCTCAATATTTTAAAATCATTAAAAAATGAAGTGAAATAGTGGAATTCTGAAGTTTTCACATTTTCTACAATGAATTTTATCATCTTTAAATTGACTTTAGAGAAAGGGAGGGAAGGAGGAAGCAGAGAGGGAAGAGGAGGGGCGAGAGAGGCAGAGAGAGAGACACCGACTCGCCGTTTCACTCATTTATGCGTTCACTGGTTGGCTCTTGTGTGTGCCCTGATGGGGATCACACCTGCAGCCCTGGGCGTCAGACGACACTCTAACCAACTGAGCTACCTGGCCAGGGCCAAATGCATCATTTTTATAACAGAAAACAAAAGCAAGTGTTGGTAAGAAAACACGGGAAATACAGTTTGGACCAAACTCAAAAAAGACCATTAAGGTTCCAAAGCAGACCAGGAGCTCGCTCTCTCTGCGGCCTACTCTAGTTTCCCCCGGGACATGTGCGTTCACAAATGCCACAGGGATGGATGAATAAAAGCCCTTCAGAGCTCAGCTTTCTAAAGTTAGTGACACATAGCCCTAAAAATACCTGTTCTTTTAGATACAGGGCATTGACAATGAGAGGGATGTGACATTCTGAGAATCCTGGTTCCAACTCTAATTAGTTGCTCCATTCAAGCTACTACATCTTCCTTCTAGTCACTTTCCTCATCCAGCATAAGGGGATAATTTTCATGAAGCACATTCAGTGTGTGATAAGGCAGCTGTCAACTGGAGAGCACATCAGGGGCACAGAGTTCAGCCTCACATGACAAAGAGCATGGAACATAAAATAGATGCTGATGAAGAATCTTTTCAAAAATTAAAATATCTACAGTGACAGAATTATCTTGCTTATTGAGCATAGCACATGCCTCCCTCTATACTTCTCTCTCTCTCTTTTTCTTTTTAATAATACCTTGTTTAAGGAGTAAGCTGTCCAGGAAGTACCACCTCCCAAGATGTAAATTCTCTGCCCATCATGTGCAATTTCATGTCTGTATCTGAAATACACAATGAAATGTTTATAATTAAGTGAAAAATGATCTACCTAAGATTTAGCCATAAAGGTTTTTACTGGATCACTATTTATAATAATAAATTATTAGACATAACCTAAGTGTTTAATAACAGTGAATTGGTTAAATTATAAAATATAAATAATATAGATTAGTATATAAACAGTAAGAATGTCAGCATACAAAATGATTAATATATTGAGAAGTTGTTTTAATGGTATATAAGAGCAGACAGGTGATAATTCCATTAAAATTTTATAGATAAGTAAATATGCAAAGAAAATTATTATAAGGTTATATAAAAAATGTTAACCCTGGTTATCTGAGTTTAGGTTTTGTTTTTTATTTCTTCATTTTGTTTATTTGTATTTTCTAGATTTTCTATAATCTTTCTGTGATAACTTTGCATAGGAGGGAAGCTATTATAGAGATTTGAAATGTGATTTGCCTACATTTAATTAGAAACCCTAGACTTTGGGCTTTTAAACAAAAATATTTATTTAACAGATACAAAGATACCAGAAAAAATATGCTACGTACAACTATGGATGTAATGTGGAATGCCTACTAGAACTTTCATGCAAGCAGTCTAGCTACAAGCTGAAACAATGTATTCGTCCATATATGATTCAAAGAAGGCAACCATGTTAAAAGGCTTTGAAGGCTTCCAGTCAGGACGGCATCATAGGCAGACACGGCATGACTCCTCTCACAACCACGTCAGAATTTTTACAACTAAAATATAGAACTCAGAACCATCAGAAATCAAGTTGAATGTAAGTCTGACAATTTTGGAATTAAAGAAACCATATCCATCCAGACTGGTAGGAGGGGCACGGACGCTGAACAGACTGGTCCCACATACACGTGTAGTAGATAAAAATTCAGGAGAGATATGTTAGGAATGAGGAGTCCCAGCCCCACACCAGACCCCCAGCCCAGGGTTCCAATGCCAGGAAAATAAGTCCCCACAATTTCTGGCTACAAAAACCAGTGGGGATTGAGTCAGTGGAAGAAACTTCTGAAGCCCCAGGCAGCTCCTCTTAAAGAACCCACACACAGACTCACCTACTCAGACTCACTCCCTCTGAGCTCCAACAGCATGCTAGCAGCTTGAAAGGCACCAGTGGCATACAGGGAGGAACTGAAATATCTGTCATCAAGGTGAGCTGAGGCCATTGCCCCTTTTCTAAACCCTCTCCCCACAGAGCTGGCAAGCTGGTGCCACATCTGAGACTCCATCAAGCTGCCAAACACTGTTTTCCCCACCCTGGAGATCCCCTGACACCCCACCCCACCCAGCTTACAGGCCCACCCAAGCTGCTTTTCCATGTGAATGGCTGGTCTTGGCCCACAGCTTCACAACTTCCTATATCCTCTAAAACAAGCAACAACCAGTCTCAGTGAGCCCCAGGTTGGGCACTAGGAGCAGCCAGCCAGATTCACAGCTTAGCTTCACCTGGGAATCTCCAAGCCCAGCACAAATAGCAGCCATCTCAGATTGCTTTACAGCTCAGGCAGGGTGGCCCAGGGCAAAACACAGGTGGGGGCTGACCTTGGCCTACACCACTAGGGAAACCCCAGGGCCACCACCCTGTCTTTGCATAGCTGATCTTCCACAGAGAGCAGAGGTTGGTAGTCAGTGATCACAGCCAGTCCTTGCAGCTGACTGGCCTGGGTAAATCTCTCCCATTGATCTGCCAACAGCACCTAAGGCTCGACTACAAGAGGAGTCTGTACTCAGCCCCCACAAAGGGCACACCTCATGCACCCAGCTTGGGTGAAAGCGGAGGCTGTGACACTGGACCCTACAGGGCACTCACTATATTATATTAGGCCACACTACCAAGACATGGAATCAAAGCAACCCTACCTAATCCATAGAAACAAACACAGGGAGGCTCCCAAAATGAGGAGACAAAGAAACATGGTCCAAATGAAAGAACAGATCCAAACTCCAGAAAAAGAGCTAAACAAAATGGAGATAAGCAATCTATGAGACGCAGAGTTCAAAACAGTGGTTATAAGGATGTTCAAGGAACTTAGTGAGGACCTCAGCAGCATAAAAAAGATCTATTCAGAAATGAAGGATACACTAGTTGAATTAAAGAACAATTTACAGGGAAATAACAGTAGAGTGGATGAAGCCCAAAATCGAATCAATGATTTGAAACACAAGGAAGAAAAAAACAACCTATCAAAACTACAAGAAGAAAAAAGAATCCAAAAACTAAGGACAGTGTAAGCAGCCTCCAGGACAACTTCAAGCATTCCAACTTTTGCATCATAGGGGTGCCAGAAGGAGAAGAGAAAGAGCAAGAAATTGGAAACCTATTTGATTAAATAATAAAAGAAAACATCCCTAATTTGGTGAAGGAAATAGACATGCAAGTCCAGGAAGCACAGAGTCCCAAATAAGATGGATGCAAAGAGGCCCACTCCAAGACACATTATAACTAAATTATCCACAATTAAAGATAACAAGAGAATCTTAAAAACAGCAAGAGAAAAAAAGTTAGTCACCTATAAAGTGCACCCATAAGACCTGTCAGCTGATTTCTCAAAAGACACTTTGCAGGTTAGAAGAGATTGGCAAGAAATATTCAAAGTCATGAAAAGCAGGGACCTACAGTCAAGATTGCTCTAACCAGTAACGCTATCATTTAGAATAGAAAAGCAGATAAAGAGCTTCCCAGACAAAAAAAACTAAAGGAGTTCACTGTCACCAAACCATTATTATATGAAATGTTAAAGGGACTTATTTAAGAAAAAGAAGATGAAATCTATAAACAATAAAATGGCAATAAATACATATCTATCAACAATTACATCTAAAAAACAAACTAAGCAAACAAGAACGGAGCTAGAATCAGGGATGCAGAGGGCGTGTTGATAATCGCCAGATGGGAGAGCTTGGGGGAATGGGTGAAGAGGTAGGGGGATTAAGAAGTACAAACTGGTAGTTACAGAATATTCATGGGGATGTAAAGTATAGTGTAGGAAAGGGAGCAGCCAAAGAACCTACACGCATGACCCATGGACCTGAACAATGGTGTGGGGGTTGCCTGAGGGAGTATGGGTGCTGGATGGAGGGGGGCGAAGGGAAAAAATCCGGACAACTGTAATAGCATAATCAATAAATATAATTTTAAAAAATGCTTTGAAAACTTAATTTATTTCCTCCTTTTCCTGAAGGCCATGGTGCTAACAAAATAAATTATATCCAAATCATTCCAGTTATTAGTCCATCTCCCAAGGCCTCTCATGGTGACCTGCAATGGTCAGCCTTCTAACATCCTACAATGAGGATAATTCTTCCTTAGCACTGCATACCATTTTCTTGAAAGACAACAAAGAGATCTTGGATTAGTCTATCAGAAAGATTTAAAAAATTGTTTACTATCTTTGCCTTTAAACTAGAGGACAAAAGATCTCACCAAGTTTTCCAGTGAGTTGAATCCTAAGAGGCAACTGCTATTAGGAAAGAAAAGTGAAAAGGCTAGGACCTACCAGAAGGCAGCTAGAGAGAATCACGTGATGTTTGAGTGTTTTACAAAGCAACTAAAGTGAAAAACCCTCCAGCCACCAGCCTCCCCCGCCTGCCATCCCTCCCTCCTTCCCAGGCATCCACCCCCAGTCAGTTTTCACTGAGGACTACTGCAGGCACGGCACCAAGCCCTGCACTGGGGGTACAGCGGTGCGCAAATGAGCCGAAGACTCCTGGTATGCAAGCTAAGAAGGGAAATTAAAAAAATAACCAGAAAGTAATTGTTTTGCCTGTGATATGAAACTTATTTACAATTGCTGCTATTGGTTTCCTCTTCAAAGTGTTACTATCTTTCTAATGGAGAAAAACTGAAATATATGAGGACATAACGTGAAAAAAAATTATATAGTTTAGAGGGAAATATCAATCCTTGACCAGGAGACCCTGCTTTAATGCTAAATGGGGATCTAACAACCAGCGGCTATTTCAACCAGGGCAAAGGGTTTTTTCAAACCACATCACCAATATTCTGAAAAAAGTCAAATCTTAGGAAGAAAGAATACATATGCTTTAATCCCAGAACCTCACCTCTCTTCTGGCAGATCACAGGAGAGGTTGTTTGGTTTCAGCTGTGTCCACTCCCTGGTGTTCAGATCTAATTTGTGCAGGTCTGTGCTGTAAATGTACCCGGTTGTCCCTCCGAAGACATAGAGGGAGCCGTTGATGATAGCCATGGCCTGGGAAGTGAGGACAAGTGAGCAGGACCGACTCGTTAGCGCTTGACTAAAGAATATAAACTTATTAGATATCCCCAAATCAAGTTTTATGAAATTTTCTTGTATTTTTTAACCTTCAAAAATACCAGCCCTTTAAGGTAAAGGACTGCAGATTTTAGAGAATGCAGAGATTATGTTTAGACAGGTAAACCTGTGCTCAGCTGGAAAGCAAGTTCTACCTTGGCGAGGTGGTCTGCTAATCCGTAGGGCTTCTAGGCAACCAAAGAATTTGTAGATCATGGACATGAGCATTTCCATTGAAAGCTGCTTGTCTTTCTAAGCAGTATGAGGAAAAATGTGCCCAAGAAGAAGGAGGAGACATGAAAGGAAGCCACCAGAACCCCTTAGGTAAGATCTAGAGTTGGGAGTCAGTCCCCAAAACTTGGCGTTTTCCAGGAGACTCTCCTTCGCCGTAAGTCTGGCTGCTGCTACACTCACTCCTTAGGGGCTCCGTGCCTCCTGCGGTTGGCGGACAGTTCCCCGGCTGCCTCTCCGCAGTGAGCTCCACAGCGCTCCTTCAGTGCCCACGCCAGCCAGTTGGTGAGAAACCACAGATTGGCTGCTTTAAGTTTAGCCCATTATTCTCGAAGGGTCTCTGACATACGGTGAGCTGCACCCTGTCTTTTTGGATACAACCTTCCAAACCCAGGTCTGAAGTGCGGGAACCTAACTGGAAACTAATCTCCACATAACCTGTTTTAGCTCAGACCTTAGGCGCAGGGATCGCCTACTCTGCTCCTTGGGTCAGAAAGCGCTTCAGAGATCCTTCCACTCTAAAGACGCCAGAGCCCAGGCCGGGCGGAGCCCAGGCTCTTGCTGGAGGTGGGAGTGGAAGTGGGGTGCGGTCCTGCCATTTTAGAAACTTCCACACAAGTCTAGATCATAATCCTAAAGAGGATTAGAAATAAAGCAGGGTGGGGGGGGACAGAAGGCGGCAAGATACCAGATTTACAAATTAAAATTTCATATCAGAACTAAAAAATCAAATATTAACCACAGTAAACTTACTCTCCATTTTAAAATCCGGTAGTAATAAAAAGATTCTGGCATTGTTTGCCCCCAGAACACACGCCCCCGCCCGACCGGCCGCGGACCGGTACCTGTCCGTATATGCGGCTGGGCTTCTTCCCGCGGCAGCTGAGCAGGGCCCACCGCTTGTACTTCACGTTGCAGACGTGCACGTCGTTGCCGTTGCTCTCGCCGAAGGGGATGCCTGTGCCTCCGAACACTAGCAGGTTGTTTCCGTGCAGCACGACTGGGGGAGGAGAAGCACAAGCTCCGTTTATGCACTGGCTGCCCGAATGCATTCCCACGTAAACACAGGGTATCTGAGAAACTCGAAAACGTCTGCTTAACTGCTTTCAGAAGACAGCACAAACCACCAACATCCACCTGCTACAGAGTTCTGCAGAAGAAGGTCTGACGCCCTCGCATGCACAGTGTCAGGGAGCTCACCGTGGTGTGTGACAAGCACTCAGCACACGTTTGCGGAACTCACGAAACACTCTGTGTAGCAACACTGAGTGACGAGCTAGAGCGCACCCCCACAGTTCGAGACAGTCCAGTGTGCAGCAAAGCAGAGGAAAACGAAGTGTCATCTTCGCCTCAATGAAGACCCAGTGGGACTCAGGACCAAGGGGCAAGAGAATCACTCTTTCTGCCAGGCGGACGATCTCTACATTTTAAATGATGGCTTCGGTTGTCTACATCTTCCCCCAGGTAAAAAGAAACACCAACACCCTGCTGGAGACTTCGGTGTTCTTCTTCTGGTCCTGCCACCACGTGCACACGCACACACGTGGCCACACATGTCTTCTTGCCTTCTCTAATGGTGAATACTCTCAAACTAGTGCTCCTGTATTATTCCCATGGCATTTTTTTACCCAGCCTTCAATTGATACAGTGTACAAGTGGACAGCACGGGCTCTGGAGCCAGAGAGAGCTAGGTGTAAATTCCCGTGTGACCCCAGGAGAGTTATCAAATCTCTCTAAACTAATCTCCACAGTAACCCTGTGAGATAGGAGTTATTATTATTGTCCCCATTTTTATAGACAATGAAACAGAAGTGGTGAGTGGTTTAATCTATTTGTTGAAGGTTTCCTCAAAGGAACCCTGCCACACTGGGATTCAGCCCCAGGCAGTTTGGCTCCTGAGCCTGCACTCTTAGCCACTGCCCACGGGGTGTCTCTGAAGCCTCGGTTTCTGCATCTGTGCCATGGCCACAGCGCCAGCAGCTGCCCTGCAGGAATGCTGAGAATTAAACTGGTACCACGTGTGAAGTACTTCACTCAGTAACTATTATCATCAGAACCCCAGTTTCTAACCCTCTGCACTTTGCCGAGCATATATATGATAGTTCATGTTGAACCTTCTGAGATACCATTAATCCCATTTTACAGCTAAGGAACTTGAAGCTAAAAATCATCTAACGATATACAGCAAATTCAAATTTAGGACGGTGTGACTCTCAAGCGATTTTGAATCACCATGCTGCATTATTGCCAGAGTAGAAAGTCTATCTCCACTAACAGGGTTGATCATGTTGGTGTTATTATAAACTATTAACAAAGAACATGTGACACTGAACTGGACCTCTCAGACATTTCAAAAAGTCAAAAGTTCAGAAGTGCCTGCACTCACGTGACATGGATGCCAGTTCCCGGGGCATGTACCCATCTGTGCCCATCTGGTGCCATACTCCTGTAGCAAAATGGTACCGCCAGAGCTCCCTGAAGAGCGGATAGTCTTCGTTGTCGGGCCCTCCTGACTCATCATAATCTGGGTTATAACCTCCGAACACGTACAGATTGGTGTTATCTGCCACACAGCGGTGTCCACTTCGTGCTGGTGGCGGTCTGTGGCCTAGGAGAGAAGAGCACAGTTTCCCACAGCTGGCCCAGCAGACTGAAAGCACAAACAAAATTCGGTAACAATCTTTTTAGCTTTAAAAAGGGGATTAGGGAAGATTTATAACATGGATGTATTATTTATTTGCTTAGGTTATTTTATACATTCACGCACACTACTTAAGATTTTAAGGAGCTGGTCTCCATTTCTATTTCATATGACTACTTTCAGATTTTGACAACTGTAAAAAGATTTTTCCCAAGGGAGGCAAAATAGCATTATCAACTCAGGAAAATGGCTGATAACTTAGAATTTTCAAGAAAAGAAGGAGAAGGGGTTTAATAATCCAAAAGCTAAAAGAACAAATTTTCTTGTTTCCTTAGAGGAGGAAAAAACACAGGCCAACTAAATTAAACTGAAAATATTAGAAAACTACATAAATATAATCACAAATGTGAATGAGTCATGTATAAATAAAAATACAAACACATAAAACCTATGATTTTTCCATAATCTATAACTTAATTAAAAAAACTGGTTTTCAAAGAGTTACAGAAAAATGTAGAATTTAAATATGCTCCAGACATTATGTCAGTTAACAAAAGACATTCCTATATTTATCTCAGAGAGCTGAGTGAGAGCTCTCCACTCAGAAAAGCTGTTTCTACAATTTATATTTGAAAGCTTTCTAAAGTTTAAATTATGTCAACCAGTGCACTAAAAGTTATTTTAGGGTTATTTTAGAGTAAAAAAATACCTAAACTTTACATTATTTCTATTACCCTCATAACTTTTAATGCCAGTCTACACAAACCCTTACATAACTGCAAAACGAAAAGTGCTTAAATGTAAACTATGTGGAGTAAGGTGCTGCTCCAGTTGACTGTTACCCTAAAGACTTATCTGCATTCGTATGTTAAGAGTAGATACTAACATATTGATAATTAATATTTAGCACAATGCTGGGCACCTAATAAACATCTATATATAAATAAACACCTATTGCCAACCTAACCTAAATCATAATTCCACTTCCTAGGGTGTGCTTTTAAACTAGCACTGAAAAGCAATCACACAGATCTGGAGAAACTAAAATACGAACAAACCATGAATCACTGCATCACTCAAGTCCAACCTATCTGTTCTGTCTGAGAGTCTTTAATGGTTCCTTATTGCCCAAGTACAAAGTCCTCAACCAGCAATTTAGAGCCTTTCAAGACAGTCTTGTCCTGACCTCTCACACTCCTGCCTGTCTAAGTCTGTCTCTGCCTGGGAAGCCAAGTCCTTCCCTCAGACCCTGGCCTGGTCTACCTACCCTTCCATTCCTAGTGGGAAAACGCCTCCAAGTCCAACCCATACAGCTCTTCCTCGTTTAAAAAAATAATCATCATCAAATAGGTGAAAATAAACGCAGGTCTATTTACACTGCTTACGTGCCTCCACAGCATACCTCCGAAATGGTCAGCCTGGCCCTACCTGAATATTCCCACTGCTCACTCACTCACTGAGTAAATGCCTTTAATTGTACTGAGGGGGCAAAAACCTACAGCTTTTATAGTTCAGTACCCTACTAGTCAAATATTAGGATATAGTATACTATTAATGATTATACCATAATTATGTAAATACATAAATAAAATATTAGGCATCTATAATCGGAAAACTTACTCTTGAGCTATGATTTACCTCCAGTAAAGAACTCAATTTCTCCTTTCAGGAATCTTGAAACGCAGAAAGTGTGGTGTAGAAGAAAGAGCAAGGGGCTCCTACCAATGACCAGGTTTGAATCCAGGTTCTTTTTAACTGCTGCTAGAGCAAGTCACTGACCCCACTGGGTCTCAGCTTCCTCATCACAGAGTTACGGCACTTGCTGTTATGTTCAAGTGTTCACTGGCTTATATATGTATCTTTTCAGGTGGCTCTTTGGTTATTTGAGGAAAGACGAATGTATTTGTATTCCCTTTTTCAACCACCAAGCTTAAAGCACACAGAAACACTAAACAAATTTACAAATTTAATTTTTCTCTACTCATTTCATTAATGTTTTTCTTCTCCAAATAGACTATGCTTCTAATGGCAAAGATCATGCATAATAATTATCCTGTATTACCCACAATGCCTAAACAGTTGGAATATATAATATATATGACAAATTCCAGAAGTTTTGTTGATTTTAACTTAAGTCAAAGTAGACAGTGACAGGTATAATCAAAACAATGCATAGCCCTTGGTGGACTTCGGTATTATTGTGCTTATGAGATATACAGTTTTGGGGAGGGGCTGGATTAGGTAATGGTCTTCTCAAAACACATGTGTTTCTAAGAATTAGCAAGACAAATTTAAATAAAAAAACATCACAGAGTTGCTACGGTCAACAGATGGGAACTCTGGTAAGGATCTCTATAATGCCCTTTACTTTATTATCTGGAGCCAACAGATAGTTTTAAAAATTGCTTTTGGGCAAATATGAAAAGGCACAGTATATTCTAGGATTTTCTCTAAGTGGTAATACAGCAGAGAAGATAGTCTATTGTAAGTTTATTGCCATTTTTTTGTGACACATATAACTCACATGGATTGAAGGATGAAGAATCAGTGAAGACAGTCTTGTATTTATCCATTCATTCATTAAGCCAAAATTCTTACTGGACACCTGCTATGTACCAGGTGCTGTGACAGGTGTCGGGGATACAATAATGAGACCATTATTACTATTTCTGGGACTTACAGTCCAGTCCAATGCAGCAGTCACTAGCCACATAGCACTACCAAGTACTTGAAATGAGGCTGGTGCAAACTCAGGTAAGCTTTGAATGTAAAATACTCACTGGATTTCAAAGACTTAGCATCCAAAAATGAATGTAAAATTACAATTTTTATATTGAATATATGTTGAAGTGGGTTTTTTTATATCCTGGGTGAGATAAAAATATTAAAATTAATGTCACCTGTCTTTTACTTTTTAAATATAGCTACAAAAAATTTAAATTTGCAGATCATATAATATTTGTGATTGTTTGGCTCAATTGCTGGCTTCTGTAAATAATTTCATTATCTATGCAAATTAAAATGCTGGGTAAAGAGCATCTAATCAATGTTTGATAAATATTAAACATCCTATCAAGGAATCTTATAGTTGGGGGTAAAGAGGTAACTCTTCTTTCTCTTTAGTCAGTAACTAGAGATATTTTTGTACATATTTATAGCCCAAGAGAGACTAATATATTAGAAAGTTAAATTTTCTTTTGAATAAATCATGGGAATTTGTCATGACTAATGCCATGGAGACTAAGAATTTTCATTATGTGGGGTATAGGCTCATCAACCTTGACCAAAATGAAATTGGGCTTATCTACTTTAAGTAGTTCTCTGAACCCTCCCCTAAATTCTCCATGTGCAGATTTCACTTCCCTAAAAAGTACTTGCTACTAATAAAATCACCCATAGAATTAGGTTACCTGATTCAGGGATTCCCATTAGAAAATGCAAAGTCGAAAATTAAAGCTGAACTGACAGAAGGGAACGGCCAGCTGAGGGAAAGCGCCCCGGCGATGGAGGGCTGAGCCACCTTCTCTCCAGGTGCTCACCAGTCACAAACACTCTGCTCGGTACCCTGGGAGTGAGCAGGAACTCACAGTAACCAGGGAAAAGGGCTCTAGTTTCTGGCCCACAAGGAGAAGCTACATGTCTGAGGTAAGGGGACCAAGGATTAGGTTGCTGCCAGTGTCTTCACTACTACAATAGTGTAACGAAGATTCCTTCACATGGCTCATATGCAAGTGTGTATTTTTGGAAGTAGGATTTCTGGGTCAAAGGGATATGCACTTAAATTGTTACAGATGCCATGTTTTAGACCACACTCTTGTCCAAAAAGACTGGGGCAGTTTACACCCCCAGCAATGGTGCATGGAAGTACGCGTGTCTTCACGCCCTCTTCAGCCTTTTAACTTTGTGCCAGCCACTGGGTTTAAACGGGTGTTGGGCTAATTTGCACTTCCCTTGTTTTTACTAGTTTACACATTTATTGGCCCATTGCATTCTTCAAGAAATTGCCTGATCATATCCCTTGCCCACTTTTCTATCTTTGGGTTGTCTTCTCCCAGATTTGTAGAAATTATTTATTGTATTCCTTTCCTTTAATTTTATTTATGGCATCTTTTAACATTTGGAAATTTTTATGTAATTGAATTTTTCAATCTTTTCTTTTAAGGCTCCAAGGCAAAGGGGGGGGGGGGAGGCTCCCTTGTTCTATATCTTATTTATCTCTGCATCATTATAAAATTATAAAGATATTCTTACTTATTTCCAGTAATGTTATAGTCTTGAATTTTAAACCCAGAACCTGACTACATCTAGAATTTCTTTTTGTATATTGTATGAGGTAGGTCTCTAATTAACAACAACAAAGGATGCACAGTTGTCCCGAACCACTTACAGAAAGCCACCCTTTCTCCACTGAATTGAAATGGCACCTTTATCATACACTAAATGGACATGTCCTAGAGTAGAATTAGGAAAATTCCAATATCCGGATCTAATCACCTTTTACACAAAATCTATTGCTCTTTAAGGATGCACACAGTCAATACAAAGCAACATCATGGAATCTTCAACGTAAAAGCTTACAGATAAAGTAGCACATAACATTTTTGCCTTGTCTCTTACAGACAAGATGTAGCCACCTCTAGACTGTGCTATCAAACATTTGTGGAGGCCATTTAAAAAACTAAAACCTTCATCACTAAAAGTATTAACTAGTTATAAATATCAAATAGCCTGAAGGATAAATCCAGTTTAATTTAAACTGGTCACTTCCTTCTAAACATAAAACCCACCATGGCCTCCCCCTGAGAAGGCAGATCTTCCATTGTACACCTGGAGGCCTGGACGGGAAAGCCAAGGGAAACGGAACCAGCTGGCTTCCACCCGGACCAGCAGCAGGCAGACCTTTCCACTGCTCCCAGAGCCCAAACGGCTCAGGCAAAAGCAATCCACTCATACCAGCACCCACATTA